GGAACGACACGTGGCCTGGACCGAAAGCCTTTCGACACAGTCCACCGTCTCGCGATTTCCTCGCGTTCTGCGCGGCTCGATCGGGAACGGGGCAGCAATCTCGCGATACTTTCGACAAAACAATAAGGTCGACGGCGTGTAATGAGGGAGGAAGGCGCAATCGAGCGTGACGGAGAGGTTGCCCAGGCGGTTTTCTACGATATCCACCGACGAACGCCCGTGTTCCGTTCTCCTCTTTTCTCTTTCCTCTTCGCGACACTTATCCGAGCTTGTTCAAAGCCGCTTCCACCCCGCGAACCCTCAAACCCCAGCCACGGTGACGCAGACTCCGTTTTTGCAATCAAATTGCAATCCCAGATTTCCTCTAAAAAAGAGGAAATTTTTTTTTTTTTGATAATTTATTGGCTTTCAAAAACGATCTAGTTTTGTCTCAAAACAATTTTTGAAAAAACACCCCAACTATAGAGATGCTAATTTCATGTTCGTTGCGTCGACTTGAAAATGTTTAAAAAGTTCTCGATTATTTTTTTTTTACAACTTACTGGCCTCCAGAAACAGTCTAGTCTCTTTTCGAAACAGTTTTTGAAAGAAAACCTCAACTACAGAGATGCTAATTTCATGTTCGTTGCATCGACTTAAAAATTTTTTAAAAGTTCTCGATTATTTTTTTTTGACAATCTACTGGTTTCCAGAAACAGTCTAGTCTCTTTTCGAAACAGTTTTTGAAAGAACATCCCACCTACAGAGATGCTAATTTCATGTTCGTTGCGTCGACTTGAAAATGTTTAAAAAATTCTCGATTATTTTTTTTTTACAATTTACTGGCCTACAGAAACAGTCTAGCCTCTTTTCGAAACAGTTTTTGAAAGAACACCCCATCTACAGAGATGCTAATTCCATATTCGTTGCATCGACTTAAAAATGTTTAAAAAGTTCTCAATTATTTTTTTTTACAATTCAGTGGCCTCCAAATACACCTTTTGATAGAACGTTCTAAGTACAGAGACATTGACTCTTTTTTTTCAATCGAATTGCAACCCCAGATTTCGCTTAAAGAGAAGATTTCGTGTTAGTTGTATCGACTTAAAAATTTTTAAATTTAGCTTCTTGAAAAAGATATTAATTTCAAGTTACTGGCCCCCAGAAACAGTTTAATTTTGTTCAAAAGCTTTTGCTAGCGCCTCTATAAGATGGTAATTGATTTATAGTCGAAAACTATCATCGATGTACCGAATTAATAAGAGATCATTGTTCCCATTGAATAATACTTGCGCCACGATTGTTCTAAACTCGGTGGATGTTCCTCGGCGAACAGACGCCAGTTTATCCGTTCCCATCTCGCTATTTCTCCCGGCTGCTAGGTTTATCTCCACACTTTATTAGTCGCATTATAGCGTAATTGATACCAATTGCAGAGGAGCAATCGATGCCTGGCGATGCACGGAGCCTCTTAATTGATTCTAACGTCGCTATCGTGTCGGTACGGAACACCTATAGAGTTCGTTATCGCGCTTCTCGAGATTCTTGCTCCACGAAGAATGCTCGTACCTTATTCGCGGCGATCTTGCTCAACCGTGGGTTACACAAGTACGGGTAAATCCTCGATTTGCGCAGCTAATTCGTTCCGAGGCGCGAGTCGAATATCCATAATTACTATGCACCTCAAGAAAGATGAAAAACGAGTCCTGGCTTCGATCATTTTTTTCCATCGATGAACAAGCAACATCGGAAGACATCGAGTTAGTTATTACCAACAAATTCAACATTGCAAATATATTTAATAGAATTAATAAAATACCAGTGTCTCGAGACAGCGTTTTCTCCACCGATTGGACCAAAGAAATCTTCGTCGAAAGCTTTTAACGGAATCGAACAATTTCGCGTAGGCAGATCCGTTTGGAGCGATAATTTCGCGGCCAGACAGTATCTATTGTTTCGAGCAATCCGTTCGTCTACGTAACGGGACCGGCTCGTAAATCTTGACGGGGCTCATCGTACCGGGAAACGAACCAGAGCCCCAGTGACTCGGTTAGCGATTTCGTTAACGACGCGAACGATAACGGGGCCCCGCCGGTTGTCAATTAGAATTAGCTTTCCCACGGACGCACGCGGTCCCGTCCGATCCTCCCGCGATCTCGTGCAACTAACGATTCTCTTAGCCGACAGGGGCACCAGATATCCATCCACGTCGTGGTTAGTTAGCGTACCGGTCCGATCGTAACGAGCATCGACATGGACGTCGCGAGACGCCCGCCTAACTGTATCGACGCGACGTTCCGCGCACCGTGTTACGCGGGTACAAAAATCATGGCGATCTCGTTGCATAACTTACCCGGGACGCTGTTTCTCAACGTCCCGAAACAGTCATGCGGTTGCAAACAACGGTCGAAGCTGAATATTTCGTAAGAAATAAAAACATCTGGCAAAAATAAATTGGAAAGAATTTTCGTAAGAATCACTTCTATTTATGAAATAGTTCTCGTTGCATAACATCTCCGGAATCTGTAGTTAAAACCTCTAAATATTTTTCCGTGCCCCAAAACGCGTTGTTGAACCTTCATTATTATGTTTTTTTTCTCTGATATCATTACTTCTTGGATCCATTTATTAAAGTTCTAAAGAATAGTGTCTCGAAATTTTTATGAAAATTAGATTATTTTTTGTGAAAGTCCTGTCGTTATATCAACGCTTTGGGAATAATTAATTCGCAAGTTAAACGAAGGAAATAAATTCGAACGTGGCTAAGACGCGGTGGTTCGTGTTATCGAGGCGCCAATTAGAGGCGCATCCGCGTTATCGTTAAGAGTCGAGGTAGATTTTTGCGATCGATCGACGTTTAGATAGCCGGGGGGATCGTTCGAGGAGATTAGAGTCCCGGCACGGCGCAAAGCGCAGTTGTGCTTTCACGTTACGTCTCTTTTATGCATAAAGTGCACGGGTATATCGCAAATAGCCTTTGGACACTGTCGGGCATAGTAACGGTGTGCCTGATTGCGAGCGATATGTTCTGTGAGATATGGCCTACTACGAACATCCTGGAGCGTTGTCGATGGTCACGTTTCCGCGATCCGGACATCACGCTCCCTTTCTACTCTCTAACGTTGGAATTCTTCGTACGCGGAGGACCGTTTTCGTGGAAACGCGACCGCGGCGTTAAAAATGGACTCGTATATATGCTCTGTCTGATGGAAAACGTGCAGGAATTCCACTCGAGTTACGCCCTCGTTCGTGTACTCGTTCGCGGGGTAAAGAGTGTCTTTTTAAGTGGAACTTATTAGGAACTAACGCGTTACATCGTATTTATGCGGTGTAATATACGAGGAAGGCTTCGAGACGATTTAATCACGCGGATACTTAGAGAGTTCGAGTACTTCTCGCTGTAAAATTAGTCGTAGAATTTGTCGACTGGCGATTTTAAAACGCGTACCTGGACGATCCGTTGATATATTGCGTACACGATTGGACGTCGCAAGAAAGTATTTATTTATATACGACGAAACGTAGTCATCAATCTTGACCAACCGTCGTCTTTCTACCTGCTGGGAATGTGGATTTATGCCTGCAAGAAGTGCAGCGCTCGATCATCGAACCGTGTACTGTCACCCGAACGCTTTCGCGCCACGAGTCTCTGGGCAAATTTTCCAAGACTGCTATACGTCTTCTCCGGGGAGACAACAATCTGAATTACTCGGATTCTTTCGAATAAATAAATTGTCCGGGACGATGGAAAAATTGCTCTTTCCCTCGGTAACACTGGTTCAAAGCGTTTGGCCTCAATTCCATTAGCAATTCGTATGTCACAAATTTTTTAATCGAAACAAATAGGCAATTATGCGTGCCCAATATTGAATTATTAATTTTTCTCTTTTACGAGGCAACGTACTTCTAATTTTTCCATTATATGTATGGAAAGTTGTGTTTTGAAGTTCATTCGTGAGATATCTATCTCTTTTATGTCGCATATTTTAAATATCTGTACAAAAATATACAGTACATTTACTCAAAATTAATTTCATAGAGAAAGTTACAAACTACGTCGAAATTTCGTAATTTTCATTGGATAAAAAATAAAATACCTTTGGAAACGAATTTTGTTTGAAGTCGATATCAGAGAAATGTCGTGTATACTAATTTAAATTAATTTTCAATTAAATGTACAATTTATAATCGAGCTTTATCGCACATCAGTCGTATAATCGATAGGAATTGCTGAAATTTCTTCAGATACATAGCGTCAAAGTAAATGCCAAAATAAACATAGAAGACAGCATAAATTACAACAGTAGTTATAGTCATCTGATAGAGGATGAAATACCCTTTAAAATGAGCGTTCGAACTTGTCGATAGCTTTATTAGTTCCGGAGATATAGCGCTTTTAGTTTCAAGTCGATGCGGTGGCTGGTTTCGGAGATATAAGGGGCCGAAGCGTTTGTTTACGTTCATTGAGGTCAATGAACTCGCGCGCCTCAGGTCAATGAGGCTCAACGCGCCGCGTCAGACGGAGACAGAGATAGTCAAATTAAGAAAAATACCCTTTCACATAAATGACGATATCTCGAAAACGGAAAGTCGGATCGTCAAAAACCAAAAGCCATTTCAAAGAGGAAGCTTCGCCGCAGCTAACAATGGCGCAATAATGAAGAAAATTCTAATAATTTCGAAACTACAAGTAATTAAAGTTTTAGTTATTTTCAATACGCGTTTCCCGTCAGAATACGCCATGGAGCGTCTGGCGGGTGTTTCGAGCCGACGCTAAAAACGCTCTATCGCGCATTCATTATCGCAGATTTCACTTTTCGTGCGCGTAATAAATTAGAATGACAGACGCGTGGTCGTGTTGAATGGCGGCCGCGGTGTCCGGGCGAGCTTTCCACGAGTCCGCTAAACCGCTTAACCGGCGTGTCCCGCGTGTTATTAAGCGGCCGTGGCGCCGGTTTTTCGCGTGTTATAAATATTCAGGTGAAACTCTGAGGTACGCGATCGCGCGTGTGCGTGCTTACTTCGTCAGCGTTTCGAGCGAGGAGGTGTATATTGTGCCGCCTACGTCGATGTGGACCGGTGCCGTGTACCTGGAAGCGGCCGCCACGCATGGTATCCCGGTCATCTTTTGGTTGTAGGCCGGTGCAGCCGGCGTCGGGGGCGTCGGCGACGAGGAATTCGACATTGTGGGCGACGTGGCCGGCGAACTGCTTGGCGACAGCAATCTGACAGATATACTTTCGACATTAGCCACCGTCAGCCACCCGTTCCTTACGCGAGGCGTACGAAGCGTATGCAGGAAGAACGACGGGGATGAATTAATCTCGCGAGAAATATACAGGGTGCCCCCGTAACTGGTGGCACAAACGAATAGGGGGTGATTCTACGTGAAAAATTGAATCGAAAATGTGGAATAAAATTTGTTCATATGACTCTTTATTTTCGAAAAAACGCGTGCACTTGGGCCAGCTTCAGCTCGACGTACACGACAAATTTTCGAACTTATTTTTTTCGAAAATAAAGAGTGGTATGAAAAAATGTTATTCTATACTTTCGATTCAATTTTTCACGTAGAATCACCCCCTACTTGCTTGTACCACCAGTTACGGGGACACTCTGTATATTTTGCTGAATTAAACAACGTAAACAAGCAACAATATATAAACGTAACGAATCGTGAAAGCGTAAAAGGGAGAACGGGGCCACCGCGGTCAGTAGGTCGCCACGATTACGAAAATTACAGAAATTTTTTATATTTATTTTTATGTAAAATTTTTGTTAAACGAACATACCGAGCAACGATATTACTCGAAGGTAAACTCTTGTATTTTACCTGTAACCCAACAATTTGAACGAAAAATAATTTCAAGCGAATATATTAATAATTTCACTCAAAGCGACCGTCGTTACCTCGTTCTTCCTTAAATGGTCGTACGTGCTATGGGCATATTGAAATTAAGCTTCGTAATGTTAGTCCTTCGTCGTTTCTACCGCTAGCCTTGGCCCCCTTCGAAACAAAATAATTCTCAAAATTTAATGAGATTTTCGTGAAAAAGGAAAACTTTAGTTTTTTTTTTTAATGGTCACTTTATAAAAGGCGTGTTATTAACGATTCCTTAATCCCCATCGTTCTTCGTTTGTGTTATCAATCATTGCAAATGCGTATTACTATTATTCCAATTATTTCATTCACATTTTGACGTTAATTTCTTCTCATCGACGACGGTTTCTAACATGCAAGCTTCGTTCGTAAAGTCGTTCGGAACTACGTTTTGCAATATGCGTTGCTTTTTAGGTACGTACTCTCAATAAGGCTATATTTACCTCATTTTAATTTGAGCGCTAGGGAACATATTGCGTTGTGGCAGTTCCGCCTTCGCCTCCTTTCCGTCGGCCTCACATTTCCGTCTGCAATTAAAAATCTACATTATGCACTTACAATGTTATCTCACAGAACGATATCACTAAAGAATAAACATTCCACCAAATTGTACGCGGAAAAATGTTTGTCGACAGTAACGTTATCCTTTACAGTTAATTGCTAGTAGCTTAATTTAAATTTCCAAAAGACTAAAAACAATAAAATACAAAAGCCCGAAGCCTCCATCATTTCTCTTAAGTTTCTCGACCACTCGATCTATCCCGATAATTGTCACACGGGGGACGTTATTGTGCAATTGTCCGGTTCAAACGGTTTGCAGCCGCCATTTAGAAGTCAAAACGGTGCACTGGTCGCCGCTGACATTAGCGCGGAACTTTCCCCTCCTAACGAGGTCGCGTTCGCGCCGATTTCAATCGCCCCAGAGCTTGATTTAATTTATCGACGCTCACGGTTTGGTCGTCGGGGCGATGATAAGGCTGATTTAACGGAGCATTGTTTTCGGTCGAACGGTCCGCCCAGCACGGTTCCCCGGCCCGTCACCGGTTTAATCGGACCGTTAATTAGTAATTTTCATACGTATTAATAAGGCAATTAACGGGCGAAACAATATTTAACGACAGTCCGACCGCTCGAGGGAAAACCAAACCCGAGCGGGTCCGAGGAACGAGAAAATTGGAAAGGCTGGGTCGCCTCGGCCGACGGTTTAAAGAGATCCTGGACTCATTTCCAGCCTGTGTACACACGAAACTCCTACGCTTTGTTCCACGGCCTCTCTCGCCACGGTAGCCCCGAATTCTTCCGCTCGAGATCACGCGGCCCTCCAAGAGAGAGAGAGAGAATTAGGTAAAGGAAATTGATTTGTGTCGGTTGACACAGGGAGTTGTAAGGATGAATTCGAGGCTCGTACGAATTTTCGTTTGTTGACCGTTCCCTTTCGGTAGATCTATCCACGAAGACGCTATTGGCCTGAAAGATAGCCCCCTTAGAGGCTACGGTCATTTTATATTTTAAGACACGTTTATCGCGCCAAACGTTCGCGATCGAAAGCTTTCAAGCACGATTCACTTCGTACGATTACCGCTAATGGAAACATTCGTTCGCGTAAGTGGATAGCAGCGAATGTCAATATTACGGTGTGCAAACCGTGTTGGAGTGAAATTACGTTGTAGGAGCTTCGCGTTACACGAGAATTGTCTGTATATTATACGTACTCTATACGCGCATTTGCTTGTTATCCTGCCAGAGTTACACAACGTCGCATCTCGTTCAACCGGGATATGAATTTATTAGCCGTAGCTTTAGATCACGACTCGTTTTAATTTCCAACCAGCGATCCGTTTGCACAGAGTTTCTTTCGTGTCTTTTCCACGCCTTCGTTTTGAAAACGGGAGGCTTCAATGACTCTGCTAGCCAAGAGAGATCATACCATATAGTAAAAATTATCATCCCCCCAAATTCCAGGATTTTACCTATCGATGTGTCCATCTTTTCAAAATTGATTTCTCGACAAAATTACACCAGAAGAAAGCTGAGTTTTTATATGGAATCTTGGGTGATTCCCCGGCCTCGAGACGGCGAATTGAATAAATAACAAAGAGAATTCAGCGGAGCGAGTCGAACGCGTTGCAACGGTAAATCAATTAACTTCACCCCAAACATCCGGATCATTCTGACTGCGTAAAATCGGCCCGCCGCGGCGGGGTTGGCGTTCAGCGGGTATAAATCATTCCCCCGACGCGGTAACGTTAGTCTTCGCCGTATAAACATCGATAAATACGAGGCAGTGTGTATCGTGGGGGTATTAAAGAACCGAGGCGAAAGTACCATCGACCACGAAACTCGAGACGGGAAAAAGGTTCCCTTCGCGGCCGCGATATTTATTTTCAAGCCGGAGTTCCTGCGACGACGTCGACGAGGAGGAAGGCGAGGGGGACTGGTTTCTCTTTTCCCCCCTCCTCCTGCCCCCCTTTTTCTTCTCGTCCTGGTCCGCGATGCGCCAGCATGCGCCGTGGCGCATCGCCGCGGGGACCGCGCGAAACGCGATGCACCGTCTTTTCTTGGTCGCTGCGAGATACTCCGTCGTCGTCGGTTAACCCCAGACCACGAACAGACGGATAGATACACGCTCGCTGATAAAAGTTAAGAAACAAAGCCGTTACCGCGCGATCTCCACCTTCTAGGACGCGTAGGTTACAAGTTACAGCGATGATTCGTTAAATGAACCCCTGGACGCGATTTGTAAATCGAATGTTTCCATCCCTCGCAACTCGTGGGGCATCCCCTTTGAAGCCAGTAAAGCGTCGAAGACGTTTAAAACACGTTACGAGTTGATACGACAATGATTCTTAAAATGAACCACAGATATACAGGGATAAAAGTTAAGAAACGAAGCAATTTGAGAATTGTCATATGATTTTCGTCCTCTGTGATGCGTAGATTAGAACTTATCTGCAATGATTCTTAAAATGAACACGTGATTCGTAAGTTGAATGTTTTTATCCCCTTCTTCGAAGCCATCGGGGTGTCGTTTTGTATGGAAGATGTACGAAAGATGAACGTGCCAATTCCGCTGTTCATTTTAAGAATCATCAGTGTAAATCATAATTGTACAAAGACTGTGATTTGAAACTTAATAATGAATCTCAAGAAATACGAAGGCTTCTCCTAATAAATTGAGTACGTATGGCAAACAAACACGGCAAAAGGGCAACGTTTAACTACTTTAAAAAGTAGGGTAGTTGAACCATTTGAGATAGATCAGAAAAATATAACGAACACGGATGGTTTGGAATAAATTTTTAAACTTCGTTTCCTTGGAGGAGATACTCGAAGCTTGTCAATGAGAATGTACCCTTAAGAAGAAGTCGGAGGAGGGCAACAACGGCCATGCTTGTCGCCCGGGGCCGATCGACGACCTCACGTGGACGGTCATGAATGCAGAATAACTGACGAATACAAGCATGGTTGTTTATTTGGACGGTTGGCCCATATATTTCAGCCCCTCGCTGACGTGGCCTCCATACTCGGCGCAGACCACCCTCTTTCACTCTCGCGAATAATTATAAGCATCGGGACACTATTTTCGAGAAAACTCATACATTTAGATTCACACGAGTAGTCAGAAGCTCCGTTTAAACTATCAAAAAATGAATCGTAATAATCTGACTCACTGTCAGTGATGGACATTCTTTACATTTTTATATCACCGTATCTTACGATCGACATGGACGTTGATTATTCGTACAACGATAACTAATAGTATCCATTCTGCTTGCTTTATTTGCTGACATTGTAAGTGGAATGAGATCTGTCACGTTGATCAACGATGTCTCGCTACCAGAGACGCAAGGATGTCTCCTTCGGTTTCTAATTTCCCTCGGTTCACCATTTTTCATTGAAACAATTTCTAATTCGTTTCCCTCTAAACGCACGAAAGTCTACGACCTATTGTTCGCGTGTACCGCTTTCATCCACCGGGTAATGAAACACTAATGATCTATCTAATTGACCCACATCTTAATCTCTATCTTGTACACGACGCGATATTAGAGCCCGCGAGAAAGTTTACACGCGATCGAACGTTTGATAAATAGTCGAATCGCGAAGATGCCGTTTCACGTATTGTTCGCGAGATTGATTTGAATCCAGAGCTGTTTATAACAACGTCCCGGTAACGATCATCGCGGATACGAATGCCTCCGGGCGATCGATCGCCGCGTACGCGAGTGCCATTAATAAAGATGCAGCGTACGGATGTGCCAGGTAATTAACCTGTATCATGATCGCGCCGTAAATCGCCTTCGAGAGTGATCTAAAAGAGGTTAATTATCCAAACTCGGTATTCTAGATTTCGTTCGATTTTCGTTCCCGACCTGGTTAGTTGGAAAGTGTATTCGTCTCGAAGATCTCGTAGATACACAGGGTGGTCCATTAGTAATAGAACCAGCGGGACATTTTCTCTTTCAGTGTGGAAGAACAGAAATATTGAAAGCGTTAATAATTACATTTATATTTTCTTTTCTAATTTTTATATAAATTCGATGTCCCGGAGCGATGATTCGGGACACCGAAAACGTTCGATACGCATCGGTTGCTCGACAAGAGTTTTCCATTTGATGGTATTTCGTTTCCAAGCGTACCATCCTATAGAAACGCAACCATTTGTATTCCATCGGGATAGTTAGCGTTATTGGTCGGCTCGTAATAAATTACTAACGAACGGGGACAGGACTAGCCGGAGAAAGTAGGGGAGTATCGCGACGGTGTAACAGCTGGTCTATCGTGTGTCGACAACGCAGAAAAGAACCGCGTTAGCGTGTAAAATTTACGAACGACGTGCGCGCGTATGATCAACACGATCACAAAGACAGGACACAGTCGTACATTACGATAATGAACGCGACGCCCGGAGGGTGTTTACCGAACGACACCTTAATGCGCGCGGATCGCATCTTTAAAGCGTCCCGGAGGTAAATAAGAAAAAAGAATTTCCACGATGCAATACCATGGTTTCCTTGACGCTAAATTTAGAGAATGAAAATCAACAGGAAACGTCTGCTGCGCATTCGAAGCGTCCATCTTCGATTTACAATTATATCGACGTTATAAATCCTGCTTAAAAAGGGGCTTCTATTTCGGTGGATTCAAAAAAGTAAATTTTTTTTTTGGCAAGCTTGGAAGGAACATTTTATTTTTTAATCTAATTTCCATAGTTCGTCCATTTATGTTTGTTAGTTTTACTTTGCGATCAAAAATCAAACTGTGTTTTATTTTATTTTTGTATAAATTCAATTTTAATTTTCATTCAAAGATGAACAGTTGTTTGTTCTTGATTTGAAATATTTATTCAGATGGGAATTTTTTGTCCCTATTTCTGTTCTCTCTGGCGAGCGTGACTGCAACAGCGGAAGTAGAATGGGACGATACTGGGCAGCCCAGGCGCGTAATACAGTGAGTTTCGAATTGAGGGGCGAGAGGAATATTTTCAATGTGGATGATCAAGCAACTATTCATATTGAAGAATCGA